TCCTCAATAGTTTTATACAATTTTTATAGGCGTGGCATTCGATTTTAAAGGGTTAAATTCACTGTTGAAAGGCAAAGCATAGAATCGCTTTTAATAAATAAATGTTAAATGCCCAGCTTTACCGACAAAAGGGATTCAATTCTGTTAAATAACAGACCAAAGGGATTCAATTCTGTTAAATTCAAAGCCGTCGGCAAAACAAAACAGCCGTCCAGTACAAAATTGTCGAAAGTTTTCTGCGGTTTTTGGCACTGTATCAGCAAATAATTCAAATATCATACGACCAATTTCCTAAAAACAATGCCAGAATTCAGACTTCTTCTATCATCTCCTTTAGATGTTTAGATGTTTGAGATGAATAAACGCTTATTCTCAAAGCGGCACAATACATGCAAAACAATTGAGAACGAATATACGCTTATTCTCAAAGCGGCACAATGCATGCAAGTGTTTTGGAAAATACGCGAACAAAACTTATTTAATTTTACAAGTTAGCCTAAAAGTAGACCGCCATATTTTGTTTTTTTATTATCAAATTAAACAAAGCCCTCGCTAAATTCCCTGTTGAGAGGCAAAGCACAGAGTCGCTTGTAATAAATAAGAAAAATAGTCAAAAAATGGCAGCTCTGTTAAATGGTTAAATGGTAACGCCACTGTGTTATCTAACGAACCAAATTATCTAACGGACCAAATTATCTAACGGAGTAAAGGGCCAGATGTGTTAAAAAGCAACACCCTGTATTTTTTTATTTAGAGTTTCCCAATGAAACAAAGAAAAAAGAACATAGTGAGCTAGACAATCATGCGTCATTCCTATATTCGAATTTGGTGACATTTCACAAGACTTTGTGGGAATTGGCAAATCATTGTATATATGTAAACAACAAAATAATAATAAAAAAACGTAAGAGAACTAACAAGGACATCTTATTATAGATTTAGAAATCATTTATAAAATTTATGCTTAATTTACAGTAGTATTTTTTCCCTTATATGTTTTCAAATTTTTAGTTATAGTCTTAATTATTTTACGGTCCTTTATTTGATTAACATTACATGATATGGTCGCACGAATTCCCATTATGTTTCCATTTGAGAGTTTTTAACCCGGAAAACGAAATAACGCGTCATTGTGTCTGCCGCCTAAGCATTAAATTTTAAACTATAATCTGTTTTGCTTTAGTTAAAACAAATCGTATGAAAACCTTTGTGTCAGTGAGTCATTTCAAGTTTGTACAAGTTGACGTCATATTTCTCTTTATTAATTATTCGCTTATTTCGTAGCTATTGAAAATGAAAACAAACCCGACAATATCAAATAATACATTAGGAAAAGCTGACGGTTTACAAGCAAATGTTGATAAAGATACCATGTCATTTACGACGCCGTGTCCTTCCTCCGCAGCACCAAACGGGAATGGACAAAAGCGGCCAGTCTCGTTGGACTTGAAGCAAAGTGCGAAGAAATCACGCCTCGTCGCGCCACCGCCGCTTACCATTGAATCGCAAGAAAATCAAAATATGAAAACGCTAAGTACACCTGATTTGGAAAAGATTCTTCATTTACTGCCTACACCTCAACCCGGACTTCTGTTTCCTACCAAAACTGGGCCAGTTACCTCAGAGCAAGAAGCTTTCGGGAAAGGGTTTGAAGAAGCCTTACATAGTTTGCATAACAGCAAAAATGCGCAAGCTAACAACACTACGATTGCTTCTGCCAGCTCAGAGATATCAACAAACGTAGTCTCTTCTACAACTACTGCTGTAACAGGCATGAGCGGCGGCTCATTTACATATACGAACTTAGGTAAGCTTGATAAATGGTTTGTGATTGTAGGTAATAGAAAAGTAAAATGTATTGCATTACTCTAGAAAGCTTTCCCGTAGCAATTAAAGATGAACCACAAAATCCCCCATCATCCCCGCCTGTAAGTCCAATTGACATGGAGACACAGGAGAAAATTAAACTGGAACGTAAAAGACAACGAAATCGTGTGGCCGCGTCAAAATGTCGCAAACGTAAACTCGAGCGCATTTCGAAATTAGAAGAAAAAGTTAAATTACTTAAAGGTGAAAATACCGATTTGGCCCTAATTGTCAAAAATTTGAAAGATCACGTTGCTCAACTGAAACAACAAGTTATTGAACATATTGAATCTGGTTGCAGCATACAAACAATGTGTAACGGAACTACTTTAATACAAAGCAAATAACATGAGGCAGTAAACGATGATTTGACACTGGGAGAAGATGAAAAAGACATGAATTTAGTTGCGGACCCCGTTTGTATTGAAAATTCACAACAAATATTTATCACCGATGATGCACAGTCATCTAATACGATATTCAATTCGAGCCTACATGGTACACTAATAAATTCTGAAAATCAATCACTAGCAGCAGAGGCCTATGAATCCTTCCAAACGAGTGATAACGACGACAAATGTGTATCATCGTCTAATTTTTTAAATACTATTGTTAATGTCAATAACACCGATGCAATAACCAGCGACGAAGACGTTCATTTAAATGGTAATGATCACTCCTTAGTTTTAGTTATAATTTGTAACGGTAACAATGGGTCCCTACAAGAATATGAAACACCTCTCACAACAAAGTAAACTCAAACTAAAATATAATAAGCACAACTTGGCCTTGAATATCGCAATAAGCTTGATATGTTTTTAAGTAAGTGTTAAAAACTTTATTAGTCAGTATGATATATGTATATGTAATAAGCTTAATATACAGTATAAGTTAAATAAAATGTTAGTCGCTGATATTGCGGTGCTGTGCAATATTAAAATTCATAGTTTTTAAAAAAGCATTGAGGAATTAAGAATAAAGTTAAGCTTTACTAACCCGCGCGTAACACGATCAACAAATTTTTATATATTCTTTGCTTTAAACAGTCAGTAATTTTTGATATTCGTACATTGCTGAAATGTTACTACTTAGTCAATTTGCCGAAAACTTTGTTGCTTGTCAGTTAGCCGCTCCTATTTCCTAGCGACCGTAAAACATTTATGACGCCAATAAATATATGTCCAGAGATATTCCATGAAATTTATATACTATTGATTATATTGAAGCTGAGATATTGAATATTATCCGCCTGGCTGCTGAAATGGTTATTACACTCTTGACAAAAACCCCTGAGAACTTGATTTCGAACTAGTTTTCCACATTCAGTCAAAAGAATCAAATCTTGGCCAAACCATCTTGAGCCCTAACAACAATACATATATATTCTTAACAGACATACAACAATAAGCGTATGAACACAGTTTTTATTATTTGTAATTATGTACAAAGAACTGTCGCATTATGTATACTATGTATACTATGATTTGATCTTCAGTCTATTTTGAACATAGGTACATATTTGACATAAGTATCATAATTTAATGATTGTTTGCTACTTAAGATTTACTTAAGCACAACTTAACAACCCTGCTTCTTCGACGAATACATTTCCTAAGCTTACGTGTTTAGCCAGCAAATTGTATGAAAAAGGAAAACTTGGTAACTTAACTCACAAAATGATAAACATGTTTATTTTAAGATCGTTACATTAAGTGAAAAAGAACGAAATAATTCTATTTGGTACAAAATTGCATTATGTCCATATTTAAAAAAATTCTTTCGAACACTTTAAAAAATAAAATTTCCAAAAGTGAAGGAACTATTGAAAAAGACGCCGCTCCGGTTGAAGAGATTAATCGCAAAGATGACGAACAATGCCTTGATAATAATAATGCAACAGATTCGACCACCGATCTAACACACTCAGACACACGATTACTTGGTAAATCAATTTAAAGTTTTCGTTACAGCATTTATATATGTATATGCGTGTACACACACATATTTATGATGTTAATAATTTTATAGAAATACAAAATAATTTGGAATCCAGAATTAATAATATGAACGTACAAAATTCCCAACAGCATGTTGTAATGCAATTTTCAAATGTTAACAAATTACATATTGGTTCGGTTTACAATGTACATAACGAAAATAACGCCAATAATAAAAGAAAGAATGTACCTGCAGATCATATTTACGATCGGAATCGAAAAACTACCACTATTGTAGCGATGATGCAGTCTCAGGAAGAACCCAGTCATCGAATAATTGATACGATAGCAACACATTTAGGAGAGGGATGGAAGATGGTTATGCGAGAATTGGGTTTCTCTGACGGGCAAATTTCCCAAGCAATTATAGATCATCACATTCACGGCAATATAAAAGAGGTGTGTATCAAATAAATTATTCACGTCGAAGACAAAAACATACATTTACGTCCACCTGTGCAATTATTCGACAGCCGTTAATAGTGCAATCGCTCCCGAGCCTTGTGTTCGAGGCTATTTAATTTTCTTTTAATCTTTAAAAAAGATGTAAACGCAATTCTTTTGACAATAATAGCATATCCTAATCAGTTTTATATGGGAAGGCTTTTCAAATCTTGAATTGTTTTAAGATCGGCAACACAAATCTTGGCTTAAAATTAGTTCTGCTTGCCTTGTATTAAGTTGCTAGCACAAACATACATGTGCATTTGCCTTCTATGGCCACCATCGAGGAATTTTATGATATTGTTAGCAGAGAAATAAGGTTTTTTTTACAAATATATACGTAATCGCTTTCGCGACTTTGGATTCGCAGACGACTTGAGACGGCTTATGGATCAGTCATGTGCCTACATATTCTTGCATGCATTTCGCAAGAGATCTGAAGCCAACAACTGCGAAGTCATGGAAAGGTCTATTGAATAGATAGATTTGCCTTTTAAGACAACGAAAATCATGAAGAAGTTTTATACTACACAGCTAGTCAGTAAGAAAATTATATATCAGTGGAACCGAATCTTTTATTCTCACTACTTTCCTCTTTGCATTTCAAAACGCAGGTCATTAATTTAAGTTGCACTGTGAAGGTATCATCTGACGGATTCGGCCCATTTTCAATGCCCACCGGGCTGCAACAACTTCTAATCTTCTCAAATACACAAAAATGGACAGACGGAAGTACAAACATGCCTATTGTAAACATTTTGAGAAAAAAATATACCGCGACCATTCGGTGGTGGATGTAAAAAACAACAAGCTACGGCACAAAGCTGGCCAAGCATTCTACAGAATTAAGACCGAAGAATTAACTGTAGAAAAACTTTATTTCTGTTTGTTTATAATCCCTTTTATTCCAATATTGAAAATTTTTTACCTAACTCATATCCTGCGCTTACTTTGTATTCGCCCCTTCGTACCTTGAGCAGCCAATATTCAATAATATATTCAAATAAAAAGTTGAAATCAAAAATAGACCCCATAAACCTTAAACACCCTAAATCATCCTACAATTATTCGTAACACGACTTTTGGAAAGAAAGCATTACATGGGAAGCAGTTCAAAAAGTAATCCGATCCGAACGCTAGCGTTCGTCCATGGTCCAAACGCGTGGCGGGCGGACTAACTTAGATCGGTCCAGAATCACTTTCCGCCTTAATCTCAAATCCTTCTTCGTATTGCGCACGTACACGCAAACTTAATGTATTCTTATATCACAAGTGGTGGCATAACATTTATCTTAAAAATGTTGTGATCAAAGAAATTTTTTTAACGGAAAAAGTGATAAAACGACGGAACGCCAAAAATAATAAACTGCAAAATATAAAGAGCAGCAATATCACTCAAAACGCTGTAGGGAAGGCAATTACAACAAATTTACTACTGTTGTTCTTGCGTTTGTTATTGTTACCGAACAAGTACTTGCAGGATTATTGCCCTTTTTTTTGTTGTAGATACAATGCAGTTATGCCTCCTGGTGACATCTTTTAGAGGCATGTAAGTTTGATTTTCAGCCACCTTATGACTTTTAACTGCTGTCGCACGACTCTAGCCGGGTCTTTTTTCTTTTTCTCATCAACCTTTTCATCAGTTTTCGACTTGTCTTCGTCCTTCTTCGCTGTCGCAGTCGAATCCTTATTATCTTCATCCACTTCCATTTTTTCATCCTCTTTCTTGTCTGCCGTCTCGCATCTAGAAATACGGCTTTCATCAAACTTTAATTTTATGAAAACGAATATGTCCTGACATGTTCGCGTGCCCTTTAAAAACAATCTCTCACCTGTCCTTGAGGTTAAGGGTTCGCTAATGGCTGCTAACAATTCTCAAGTTCTAATTTCACATTTTATTTCTTATGAAAATCTTTAAACCTTTTTACCTATGCAGGTCATATATCAACTGCTGCTCGACTGGGTACGTAATGCGGACGATGAGAACAGGACGGTTGCTTATATTACAAAATTGCTTTGGGGATTGGGACATAGAGATTGCGTTCACCGGATGAAGCAAGCTTGGAAAGCAAACACAAAATATTGAGATTATTTGCCACTTAATTGCACTCAGTTCCGATCTTGGTTTTTGAAATACGTAAACTTTTCTAGTGTATATACATTGACAAATGAAAACTATATTTGAATAAATATATATCTCAAACGTTTTAATATAAAACTTAAAAAAAAGGAAGTAAAATTATTGTATTTGAAGTATACTTGAGTAACTGAATTAATTTTTTCTTTTGACACTTTATTTCATTCGATCGAATGAATTCCTTCAGTTGCAATTCAAAATAGTGTTGGATTAGTAAAATCATGAACAACAGCGTAACTGCAAATAAAGATAAGAAGAAGAAGAAAGTAAATAAGCAGAACGGTAATCCAAATAAATTATTTTAAGTTCTAACTGTAGTAAGTACATTTAAAAAAGAAAAATATATAAATAAATATTACCATTTCATTTAGCAGAAGGGTAGAGATTCTGTCATTTTCCTTTTTCTTTGGACAGGCTTGGATGAAGAGTCAGCAGCATACGAAAGTTCTTTAAACTTTCCATGGACTGGTTGGATGAAGAACCAGCTGCAGGCAAAATTCTTTTAAACATTACATGGAATGTTTATAGATTACGAACCAAGGGCGTAATCCTTTCCTTATCTTGAGCAAGATAATATAAGGCGTAATAATGTAGGCAGCATATTTGGGAGAATGGTTTAAAATTTTTTCAATTCAATAGAACTGCCACCAAATGCAGACTCGCTCTTGAATTCAATGATCTTTGGTAATTTTCAAAGCTCAATTTTTTATAGGGAAAATTGAGATAATTCAAATTTATTAAAGCCAAGAATAATAATAGAAAATTAGTGCACTTTGTCATGTAAACAATAGTGCGCAAATTTGCCTAATACCTAAAAATGAAAAAAAATCGCAACTGATTTCGGCTGCGAGCATTGTCAAAATCTTGTTGGAGAAACTGCAAATAACAAATAACTGTGAATTAGTAGAACGAAAACCTGGATAAGAAAATCTAGGGTTATATTCTTGAGAAAACAAAGAAAAAATAAATAACATCGGAAAAGGGAAAGCCGATGACGAAGACTTGAAAGGAAATATTTATTCTTTAACGCAGATGGCTTTTAATCAAAGGGTATGAAAGGAAGCGAAGGTCGATATTAATTCTGCTGGTGATGATAAAGGAAAGATAAGATTAACTAATTGCAAATGAAATTAACGAAAATGTATGTAATCGTTGCCACTACATTGTAATGTTCGAAATAATTGATTAATTCGCGGTAAAGTTGGCTATTTAGGATGTAGATGAGACTCTCAAGCAAGAACTCGAAAGAAAATTGCATTGTAACTGAAAAATTATATTATTTATTTTTGAAGTTTGTTTAGTATTTCTATTATAATAGTGTCAACATCGGCCATAGCCCCATTGCCAGTGTCACCATATATTAGAGTCTTTACTATACTTGGTATTTCGTAGTACCCCCAAGACTTCAAGTTATTAATTTGGTCCGAAGTAATTGGATGATCATACATGCGTGTATTCATAGCAGGACAAAATAAAAGCGGAAGATTATCGTATAAACCCTGAAGTGGCATTAAAGAAGATATTAAAAAAAAGCTATTACATGAAAGGAATTGAATGACAAAGTTTACCAACATTTTTGCCAAAGAATTCGCACTGAGCGGTGCAATTACTAACAAATCGGCCCATTTTCCTAACTCAACATTCACTACTGGATCGCCGCGCTTATTCCAGGCTTTCCATTCCATCTCATTATCAAATAACTCTGCACTCTGCAGCACGCTAGCAAAATCTACGAAATGTTTCGCATGTTCCATGAAAATCACTTTAATCTGAGATAAGCATAAAAAATATATATTAGATATTGATATGCGCTTCATGAAAAACTTACATTAAATCTGAAATCCAGGCTAGGATCTTGCAATTTTTCTATTAAAACTGGCAATTTGATGGTGGCGACACGAACAAAAATAATAATCTATTTCGATTATTATCACGGTTTTCCACGCCACCCATGAGGTACCGTGATGGGTGCGTTGCCAATTGTTTGAAATGGCTGGCTCCCTTATAGGCCTATACTTACTTTAAAATTATATTAATTACATTAAATATCACATTATTTTAAATAAATATCACATGCATTATATTTACAATGTTAGTACGTATGAAGCCCCGCTCTGAGAGAAACTAATATGAAAAAATAATAGAAATATATTCTAACTATTCCTATTACCTATAATTAGTTTGTAAAAGATGAAACGGTGCGGACCGGTCTCTCCCTCCAGTTTTTCCCGCTCAGCGCTACTTGAATGATGTATGTTAACAAATTTCTTCTGTGGTCATCTCCGTTTTCGCAAGCTCCTTTCTCTTTGAAGAACGAGATTCGGGAGATAATAGTCGCCACAGCACGCTTCTTTATATTTTCATCCGGCATATATTTGTCTGTTATTAAGTATAACAGGTGATACACCTCTTCAAATATGGTGTTCACGTTTTCTTTAAGAAATTCTGCCTTTAAATAGTCGCTTGCCAGGACGTCGCTGTCGTATTTATTTTTTGTTACAGTTTGGCGGCCCACTCTCAGGCGTGCTTCTCTTTGTACTTTGTTCTCTTATGTACTGACCTACTCCATATCCTGTCAGTAGCCGGAAATATTTTCAGTGGTTCGGCGTCTTTTTTCCAGAGTCTATATCGTCCTAGGCCACGCCATCCAGGCCGACCGGTCGAAATTCGTCGTCGGCCTGTTCTTCAAGTTGATAGTTAAATTTTTGGATGATCTCATAGTCGTCGTCGGTCGTCGATGTCATCCAACACTCCTTCTGGAATGTGATGAAGCGTTTCATCATCTGGATTATATCCCGTGGTGTTCGTAATCGTAATCTACTTGTTGGCGCCATATACATATAAATCGCTCCAATAAGTCCTGGCTTACGCTGTACCCTGAAATTGAAATATCAGGGTAAGCCTGCAGCTGTTCCTCCACTATTTTGATAAAATTGGTTGCAGTCATTCGGATTGCCTTCGATGCTTCCGACATCTGTTGCTTCTTCTTCATATAATTTAATGCATACTTTAAATTTTTTTTATTCTGTTCCCAAGTATCCTTATTTAGTTTGTTTCGGTGTAAAACGTTTGTAAATATGGTCATCGCACGAATATATTTATAAGTCTTCATTACCTTGGAGCCGCCTGTGGTTTTTGAGTCTATAGCTGATTTTAGAGACGATTGCGTGACGTGATCGTAGAATGCTATTATATCTTGGGGATACCGCGGGGACGGTGCGACGACCGACGGAAAAACTCCTTTTTTAGCCAGAAGCTGCATTTTCATCCTTTAAATAATTGTTTTTTAGCTCGGCTAAAATTTTTATATTGTAGTTTGTTGAGTCTTTTGCCACACGTGTATGGAAATCCGGTTTCAAATCCTCGGAGTGATGACCTGTGCGCACTGGATCTATCGCACACGATTGCCTTTATGTCCAGGCCAACACCTTTTAGTAATTTAATATATTCATGTAGAATTTTTCTGGCCCCGGAGTGTTGGATAAATCCGTGTACGCCGAGTAGCATATTGAACGCCGTCCGAATAGGAGAAACTTTTGTATTTTGCCTGCTTCTCCCTCTTCGTTGTAGCAGCATCCATATAGTTTGTCTTCTGCTGTCGAATACGTTGTTTCTGATTTTGTAAATATTTCGTCGAACGTTAACACTACTACTTTATCTTGAGGGGTTAATTTTGTTACCACCTCTCGTAGACCTACGGAATCCGGCAGTATTTCAGTAAGATTTTAATGTATGCTGATGATGTGAAACTGTTTACTTCTTTTTCCGTAGAATCGCAATCACATCATCTTCAAAGTGATTTGAACAATTTGGTTGCATGGTGCTCCCTCAATCTTCTGAAGCTAAATCTAAATAAATGTAAGAAGCTTTCTTTCTTAAGAAGGAAGTCGTTTAGTACCCAATACTTCATTGATTCGCACAGGTTGGAAGACGTCGATTCGTTCATTGATTTAGGCGTTCTATTCGATTATAGGTTACGTTTCAATTTGCATATTGAGTCCTCGTTAAGCAAAGCTAGGTCCGTTCTTGGTTTTATAAAGAGGTGGTCCAAAGAGCTTGATGATCCTTATATTACTAAAAGGCTTTACACGTGTTTGGTGAGACCTATTCTTGAGTATGCCTCTGTTGTGTGGTCTCCTTCATATAGATGCTACGTTGGTTCAATTGAATCTATACAAAAGCAATTCTTGCTGTTTGCACTTAGGAATTTGGGTTGGGACCCGATTTCCCCTCTTCCACCCTATGAAAATAGGGTGTTATCCTTACCGTCACTCGAGAAACGTAGATTTGTTCTTGGGGTTTCCTTCCTAATCAAATTAATAAATGGTGCAATTGATTCGCCCGCATTACTTCGTGAGATTTGCTTTAATGTCCCTAACCGCTTCTCTAGGTACTTTATGTTGATAAAGCTTAGTCAATGCAAATATAACTTTGAACTGTTTAACCCGCTCAGAGTTGTTTGCAAGAACCTAAATGATGTCTATCATCTATTCTCATTAACGGACTCTTTAAAGTCTATTAAAGCAATATTGCTCAACAAGCGCGATTTACCTATGTCGTACTTAAACTGATTTAACCTTAGATTTTGTCATTATGAGTCGAAAATTAATTTGTTGTTAACAATTATCGGTTGCCAAGCTTATGCATGTTTGCGATGGCTTAGGGGTTCACTTGCAATTTGGTCCTGTGTCGGTTGTGGGCGTGGCTCTATGCTAATTGTGTACATGCTTTTTTTTTTTTTCTTTCTTTTTTTTTTTTCCTCCTTATTTGTTTTATTGTACTTATACTAAGTTTTATTATTAAATAATTTTAAGATTTACTTAAGAGTCAATTGAACTCGACTGCCATTTTGTTTTAGTTGAGTTTCTTGTATAAGTGGAATAAATAAATAAATAAATAAATAAATAAATAAATTTCGGTCTCTGCCAAGTTGAATGTTTTGTCCTCCGCCAAGTTGAATGTTGTTAAAAATCATATATATTATAAAGTGCTTCTATATCGCTCCAATAATATTATTTAAAAACAAATTTTCCGGTGGCAAGTAGGAGAGTATAGTCGTTTAGGCCAAAATTTGTACTTTCTCAGCGACATCTGTTAAGGCTAAAGTGGCGTTGATACAAAAAAAAATCTTTTTTTCATTAGAAAATGATTATAAAAGGTGTAAGCACATCAACTGCTTCTGCTGCGCAGCAAATCGAAAAATTGTTTGATGTTATGGTTTTTGGGAATGGTTGAATATTTTTTGACTTTTATGAAAAATTTTAAAACGCGCTGCACAGGCTCCGCAATTGTTATTCCTAAAAAAACAACCCTTGCATTCCTTCGGCTCCAATTAAAAAGCATATATTCAATAAGAAAAAATATTTATTTAATAAATTCTTTCTTATGCTTCCTTAATAACAAGAATTTGCATTTTCGTTTCTTTTTTTTTTTTTGTTAAATACTTTATCGAAAAATTTTCACTAAAATTTGAACACAGATAAACATGTTGCGCGTGCCTCAATGGGGCTTTGCCCATTTTTCCCAATAGACCTTGCTTTGCATTTCATAAAGACGAGAAATGGTACGATCGAAAGCAAATAACTCTTCTTCGCCAGTGAAAACATTTGCGCCGGCATCTTTCTATAATTTTAAATTAAAGATAAGGAAATTAAAAGAACTCAATTCTCTTGAAAGGTATATTAGTTACCGAGCCCAACCAGATTTTTAAATCATCCATAAGTACGCGTTGATCATGTGCCAAACCACTCGACTTATCGCTAAAATTAAACAGTTTATCTAGCGGCACATCAGCCGAAATAACCACACGTATGTGGTTATCGTAGAACGTGTCGATTAGAGTGATAAATCGTCGCATGGGAGATTTCATACGTAATGTTAGCTGAGGTACATCGTGTATGAGAACAATATGAAATACTTGGGCGAGTTGTAAGTAATCATTGCCTGCTAACGGCTGGAAAATTTGAGAAATATGTTACATATGGTCATCGAATACTTTATGTACCAAGTACCCCATCACAAAGTTCTTTAAACGAACTGTTGAATACACGACCACAGGCACTTTGAAATTTAAGATCACGTCCCAAACGTGCGTGCTCTAACAATATCGTTTTCCTGGGAGCATAATATTTGAAACATTCTCTCCATTTGGACTTTTGTATCGGTCTCCGATTTACTGTGAAGCACAGAATCAAAATAGCTCCTATTTGTCTCTTTGCTCAATTAATCAAACTTACACAAAGTAATTTGTATCACCTGATTGGGTTATTTTTCTGTAATCTACGCCACGGTCCATATTCGCCACTTTAGAACGGTTAAGCAGTATATCAATAAATGGTAAAAAGTTGCTACGCTGCAAACCATCTTTGTAGAGATCCTTAGGATGACGATTACTAGTGGCTACGCAAACAATTCCCTCATTAAAGAGATGCGTAAATAAACTTTTCAAAATCATTGCATCAGCTATATCAGTAAACGGAAATTCGTCGAAAGAAGATTTTTCTATTTGCTGAAATATTGCAGTACATAACTAATGCGAAGAATCGCAGCGAAGTGTAACGCTATGGCAGCGCTGTTATATATTAATCGAATTTGTTTTGGTTTCGTTGTTTTTGAGAAAATTCTTACAGAAATTAATTGAATTAAGGTGAATCACATTCAATTCATTTTAAATTACCTTAAGTAACACAAAGAAAGTAACAAAAAGGCACAAATTATTAACCAATAAAAAATGTGTGCATAGCAAGCTATATACGAAGCACGCCAATACTGGTTGCGGGTATGCCTCTGTACATAGTTATGTACATGCTTCCTTTCTTTTTTTCCTGAATTATTATTTAATTATTTTAATTTAAATAAATAATGATTATTATCACGGTTTTCCATGCCACCCATGAGGTACCGTGATAGGCGCGTTGCCAATTGTTTGAAATGGCTGGCTCCCCTATAGGCCTACACCATTATATACTTACTTTAAAATTATAATAATTACATTAAATATCACGTTATTTGAATTGCATTATATCATGCATTATATTTACTATTTCATATACTTATTAACATATTATTTGAACTAAATATATCATGCGTTATATTTACAATGTTAGTATGTATGAAGCCCCGCTCTGAGATAAATAAATAAAAACAATACATTCTAACTATTCATATTATCTATAATTAGTTTGAGAAAGTCGAGACGTTGTGGACTGCTCGCTCTCTCCAATTCTTCCCGCTTAATGCTAGTTGAATGATGTAAGATAGTAGACCCCTTCTATGTTCGTCCCCATTTGGGCAGGATCCTTTCTTTTTAAAGAAGGGGATTCGGTCGGCAATGGTCGCCGTAGTACGTGTCCGTATATTTTGATCCGGCATATGCTGGTTGTTTATCAAGTATAAGAGATGGTATACTTCTTCAAATAGTGTGTTGACATTTTTCTTGATGAATTCTGGCTTTAAATAGCCGCTTGCCAGGATGTCGCTGTCATTTTCGTTTTTAGCCACATAATGGCGACCCACTCTCAGGCATGCTTGTCTTTTTTTCAGTGTCAAATCCTGCATGCATGCCTGGCACCGTACATTATCCCTTATGTACTAACCTACTCCATATCCTGTCAGTAGCCGGAAATATTTGTGGTGTTTAGATGTCCTTTGTTCGGTGTCGATGTCCTCATACGCCACGCCATCCAGGCCGACCGGTCGAAATTCGTTTATATTGCAAAAAAAACTCCAATTTTCAATAATTCATTTCCAATATTTCAAAACTGACTCCTGATAGTAAATAATAATACATGCAAAGTAAGTGAGATGTTCCCTTTGTAGTCATTTATTATTTGATTATTATTCTCTACTACCCACTAATTACCTTTTCAATAAGGATTGCAATAAAGTTAACGTTAAGTTTTCTCCACTTAATTTTTATGTTAAAATGTTATCATAAACGAATTTCCATCATAACACATTCCTTATGTATGATGATGTCAATATTATGAACCACCTCTCATTGAAGTGTTTAAAGGATATTGAAATATTTAATTTTCGTAACCAAGGTTATATTAATTTTTGGCCAATTTAGAATGTTGAAATACTACTTCTCAGCGATTTTTGTCGAGAAATTTTGAAAGGCTTTATACAAAGAGCGGTCGAAAACTGATCCTAAAATTTTCACTAGCCTTCATCCTTGCGTTAAAGAACAGTGTACAAAATTTCGTCAAAATATCTCAAAAATTGCCACCTGAACGTTGAAAATAAAAATAAATCCATAGA